GTGTGTGTGTGTGTGTGTGTGTTTGTTTTGGATGACATTTGGGGGCAATTTTAAGACAAAATGCCTACATTTGGGGCAACTGGTGCATTTGGGGACATCAGTAGAGTCCCCATTTGGTTTAAATGCCTTTGGTGGGCTGGGGGTTCGATTTAGGACCAAGGTGTGAATTGAGTTTTGGTTAGTTTTAGGGTCAGGTAGGTACCTGTGAGGTTAGGGTTAGGGTTTGTGGTCGGGGTTAGGCTGTAGAAATGTAATGGAAGTCAATGGAATGTCCCCAAAGGGATTGCTGTGGTCTTGTTTTTCCTACATCGTGGGGCCCAGTTTTAAGGAAAACGCAGCCTCGTTGGGACCGGGTGCTCTTTGTGGGGCCCAAAGACTTCGGAGGCTGATTTTGGGTGTGGGGTTTGGGTTTAGGACCAAGGTGTGAATTGAGCTTAGGTTAGTTTTAGGGTCAGGTAGGTACCTGTGAGGTTAGCTTTAGGGTTGGTGGTCAGGGTTAGGATATAAAATTACCAAAAAATGAATGGAAGTCAATGGATGGACCCCACAAGGATATAAAAACAAGTGTGTGTGTGTGAGAGAGAGAGTGAGTGAGTGAGAGAGTTTCCCAACCCTGGTCCTCAAGGCACACTGCCCTGCATGTTCTAGAAGTTTCCATGCTCACCAGATTCAGCAGATTGCAGTTCAACAAAAACCTGTTGCCAATTGAAACCAGCTGTGTTGAAGCAGGGAAACATCTGAAACATGCAGGGCAGTGTGCCTTGAGGACCAGGGTTGAAACACACTGCTCTTATTAAGAGACCAGCTAACCAAATCCATAAAAATAAATCCATAACTTTCTGTTTTGGATGAAAATGTAGAGGATGCTCCGAGCAGCAAGAGGGGAAAGATAGGGGAGGGCAGGAGAGAGGGGAAAAGTGTCTTACTCCTCCGAGAGCAGGAAGAAATAAACAAATAAAATAAAATTTCAGATACATCATCATTAACCCAATCTGTAGATGTAAAATGTTCAGCATACAAATTAAGGCACACATTTTGATTTTTTAGTAGTTCTTTATAATTAAACAAACTGTATTTTACTTAATTTTTCTATTGTTCAAAACACAGTTTTCACCTATTTTGTATGATTGTGTCCTTTTTGGTTTTTCTGTTGTATTAGCCCGGCTATATTGTAACTGAAGTTGCTACATCAATAAACTTTTAAGTTTAATGTTAATAAAATTATGTACAATAGGTTGCCTTCAGGCCCAGGCCACCCTTGCAAAAAAGATCTGTGATCTCAATGGAATTTCCATAATGGTAAGATAAAAATAAAATAAAAGAAATTACTCTGACGTCTTGATGTTTTTTTGAAATGGTGATTAGAAATTCACTACATATTTTAGATTTATAAACACATTAGGTGTAGTTGCGCAAAGTATCAGCACTGGATCAGTATCACTGATACCAGCGTTTTATTCAGCGTTAGAGTTAGATAGGAGATGGCATGGACTGTGACTAATAAAAAAACTGACAAAACAGGTTATTCTAATGGAGAAGAGCTTATTTTTAGACACGCTGCTACAAAAAGCTGGTAGTTTCTATAAAAAGGGTTTTCAATTCAACTCAATTTATTTCAATTCAATTCGTATAGCGCCACGTCACAACATACATTGTCTCTGGGCACTGTACACAAAAATCAATCTAAAAAAGCATTTATGGACAGTAATAATATATGACCTTTAAAGCTGATCAGACACAAAAACATTGACCCATCTACTTACCTATTTACAACACTGATTTGAATAATTATTTTATAGAGTATAGTTCCCAAAAACACGTAGAATAGACTGCCATCAGGCCCAGGCCTCCCCTGAAAAAAATATCTGCAATCTTAATGGGATTTGTCTGTTTAACCATGGAAAAATTAAATAAAAAATAAATAGTCGGTGCTTTTAAATTATATTTATGCCCTAAAGGGGCACATATAGGTAATGAAGGGTTCAGTGTATTGTCCCATTGGACTCATAATGGTGGAATCAAACCTATGACTCTCGATAGTGGACAACTTCCCTAACCATTGATCCACAGCTGCCCAAAGGCAGTAAAGTCTCGTAGAAAAAGACTGTCCTGTTTATTTACTGCTTATAGAATAAAAGGTGAAAAGATTTGTTTAGACATGTCTGACACATTCTGTTTTAAGAAATAACCATTTTAGCATGCACGTAAAAAAAATCTTCTCCTACCTGTTTGCTGTTGAAAGTAGTCAGCTCAGTCAGGTCTGAACAAGCGGGGGAAGAGCTGTCCATCTTTATAGCTGAGCCACACCTTATTTCTCTAATCTATGGCCCTAAGCAAAAAAAAAAAAAACCCGGAGAACCTGAACAGGGATGATTAGGAAGAAAAAGGCATGACTGATAAAATGATGTGTGTTTGACTCAATCAGGAGCGGGAATTCCCTCTAATACAACACAGTGGAAAATAAAGAAAAAAAGATTACAGCTGTTTAAAACACCAAAGAAACTGGAATTTCAAGATCCTGAGGACAACCCCCCACCTTCTGCTTTAGCAATCTGAGGGCTTTTASTTGCCTTTTGTTATGCATATGCCTAAAGCTAACCCAGAAACACCAAACACCCCCRATGTTGTTTCTCAAGGGCTCCTGTTTACAAGTTTTTGCTCTGAACATGTGTATGTTGCAAAGAACATAACTAACTCTGTAAGGTTTGGCAGAATGACACAGAGCTCAGGCAGGATCCAAAGTACAAAATAAAGAGTTTATTTAGAAACCAAATTAAACAGCTGACAATGCAGCAGAACTTACTGAAACACTAGGAACACGCAGGACACCTCACTGTCTGAGGGAAACAGCACAATGAACCGACAAACCCTGAAGACAGGACACAGAATACAAAGGCAAACTAATTAGGACAACAAGACACGGAGCAAACACAAGAGGACACGTGAGAGGGCAGGGCAGAGAAACACAGGAGAACACTGAAAACACTAGAAAACTAAGGAAAATAAACACAAACCATGACAAACTCAGACAGGCCTCTTCACTGGCTGTCTTTAAAACCCGTCTTAAAACCCACTTTTGTTTGGCTTTTGACACTGTGTAAGGGGTTGTGTTGTCCAATAATTTTAGATTTAATTTTTGTAGATTTTTTTGTTTAGTATTTATTGTAGATTTTAAAAAATGTTGGCATTTCGTTGTTTTATATGTTTTTACTTTGTTTTCCATTGCCTGCTTTTACTTGTTTTGTTATTTTTATTCTCTGCTTTTATTTTTTTCTGTGTTTTTACTATATTTTTGATTGAATATGTTTTATGCATGAGCTGTGTTGCAATGTTGATTCTGTACAGCACTTTGGTCTGCTGTGGTGCAAAAAGTGCTTTACAAATTGGACTGGATAACTGGATGCCACTGTCTTTTCAGAGCTACAGTAAAAAATGTAAATATAGTATCTGATTCAAGTATTATGTGTTTACTAAGGTTTTGTCTTTTTGTTTTCAACRAATATATCAAATCAGTCAGTTTTGACTGGGAGCAAAAAAAGTTACGTTGTGGCACAGTTTAGAAAAAATTACAAATACCACACATTTACACATGTGAAGCACATTTACACCTCTGGCAGAAAGTAATTTACAACTATTTGAATAGCTGTAGTCCTGTTCTTATGAGAACAGAATAAAAGCAGACACACAGACAGGAGCGGATCATTATTTTTTACCCTTCTATCGTGTTTGGAGAAAAGAAAAACACAATGGCACCCAAGAAGACCTACACTGATTTGCAAGTGTTGGAATTACTGACTGCTATAGAGGACTGCGAGTCCGATGGAGGAGAGGAAGTGATTCAGACACTGAGTTGAACTTAGAACTTTCTACAAATGAAGATACCAGTGGTATGTCGGATGATGAGCAGTGCAGCCCTCCCAGAAAAAAATGTTTGGAAGCAAAGAACAACACAMCTGCACCAAGTGTGAAAGCAAAAGATGGGACAGTTTGGGAGACTGTAGGTGCTGGACACCTTCAGCAGGAAGAATTCTGCGCAGATGCTTTTTTTCACGAGAGGCCAGGACCTACAGAGCATGCCATTGTAATATTACTGTTTGTTAGACTTTTTGTGTATGTACAGTATATGTAAATATTTATTTAGAATCTTCTAGTTTTGCAATGTGTGTACTGCTTTTGTAAGCTTTTTTGAGTGAAAAAAACTAAATTTTTGTCACATGTATCAAAATCAAAACAAAGCAATGAGCAGTAAAACAAAAGCGTATATA